ATGGTAAATAAAATTTAAGCCACCCTTCCACCCCCCATTCCTACCTTTTACAGAACAAAAATACCACCACCAACCTACCTACACCCCTTAATTTGTTGCATTAAACTATGGGCATTTAGCTGATTTAGGCAACATTATACAATGTTGCCTAAACGTTGATTTATCTGACAACATATTCCCCCTTTTTTCCACTTTTTTAATCATAATTTGGAGCCTTCTGCTCTTTTTTGGTAAAATGATCAAATTTTGTTCGGTATAAATTGAGTGGCTGAAGTGAAATGAAGCTATCCCCTACGTTGTAGAAAAGAATAATAATTTTGCTTTTGCTTAGAAGGCACTCAAAAATTGAGTGCCAAAGGAATTAAACGGAGTGCACAGAGAGAATTGGTCCACCAAACCTTCAGGGACACATTATTCACTGGAAAAACAATGAGAGTATACAACTATAATATAGTTTCGAAAGGTCACACCAAAATGACAGTGAAACAAAAACAAACTTGCATTATCACCGTTCGACTCAAAACGTTTTCTAATTTTCGACGGAATTTCGTCAGTGCCCTTTGGCCATAAAGCCGCTGAAGAAAATGCTTTTCTAGAAGACATTTACATGGACACCGAGTGGGCCAACTCATACAATGAAACTGATAACAGTTCTCCCGATTTTACACTTCCGGATTGGGGATTTTTACAGCGGCCCTACTCAGAAGCAGAGCTGCAAGAAGAAGAAGAAGCTTCTAGTAGCCGAGTCCGTGAACGTCCCCCTATAAAAAACCCATTTATTTTATCTGAAGCTTCAGAAGAACGACCATCTAAAAAACAGCGCAAAGAAAACCAAAACAATAAACATTAAAGTCTGAAACATATATTTTCAGATGATTTTTACTGTTCGTCCTTTCTATACTTCGACTTGTATATGTTTTGGTTTTTACCAATTTACAACTAATAAAATACTCGTATTGAGCTCAATCACTGTTTTAACATAAATAGCTTCAGGCAAATAAACTAGTAGACGCAAACCAAGTGTTAATTCAAACAAATGTGTGAAATCCTTAGGCTTGTTTTGAATAACAAACTTTAATAGCATGACAAATCTTTGACGAAAAGAAAGAAAGAAAGCCAGGAAATGATATCCACATGAAACTAGGACGAAAAAAGAAAAGTTCAGGAATTAGGACGATTAATTTTAATTATCGCGGGAAAAGGGACCGCTTTCAAAGGAATTAGAAGGAATTATTGTATCGCGTCCCGGTTGTTGAGCTCAGCTTAACAAGATCCTAACTAGGGGGTCTTCTGCTTTTTGGGTGGAAAATTTCTTTCGCTTACAAAATCCTAGGATAGGGGTCCTCCAAAAAATTAAGGACCCCTTTCCTAGGATTTTGCTTTACGTGAGGACCCCCCCCCCTTAGGAAGGACCCCCCCCCCCCTTAGGATCCGGGACACGATACAATACTACTTTCCGTATTGATTAGATACCAGTCTAGCTTACAATGAATCGACCATTGGTCAATCATTCATAGTCCGTGCCTGTTTTTAGAGCAGACATTTCAATTAAACAATCTTTTTATTAGTTTTATTTTAAGCAATTGTACATTTTTTTAGTCTAGTTTCCTTGGATTTTCTTTTAACAGATTAAATCTCAGTCTGCATATCATTATTTTAGCTTTAATTTGACCTCAAACTGGGCCAATAATCATGCTATTTATGCAGCGAGAAACTACTGTCCTATCTATTATTAAACAAGTTTTTCAGAAAAGAATATTCAAGGAAAAAGAATGTACACTTTAGATAACTTAGATATCTTAATTTGATGAAATTGAGAGCATCCAGAATTTACTGATTTGACAAGCAATTTCACAGAAAACATGTATTAGGTTAATGTAGTAGCAGAAAGTCTCTCTCAGTTTTTTTTATAGGTTGTCCTAATTACTGTTTTGGGGTAACAATCAGTTTTCCAGGATCCAAAGATGCGCCAAAATTTTTTAAAAAGTCAAATTGAGATATTATGGCAAATAAGTTATGGCGTATACAAAAACAATGAGCGAGGTTTACAACTTGCTCTTATAAATACGCCAAGTGCAAATCATATAACTTGGTACTTTACGTAGTTCGTTGGGAAATTGGGATAAAATTGGGGAAAAAAATTTAAAAGTATATAATATTCATCATTATTTAATAAATTTTTTTTCCAGCCGAAAAACTTCCAATCGACATAAAACAGACTTTTTAGTATGGTGTTTGTCAAACTGTTGGACGCACATAATTAGCAATACGACGTGAAAGCTTGTTTGCCTACAATATTCAGCTTCGTCGATGAGATCGTGTCACGAATTCATGTAATCTACTTTTTCTTTGGTGAAGCTTCATTGTTAGAAATTGTTACAACGTGAGACTGTAGTATATAAAAAATAATTGGTTTTCCTGAGATCGGAAAAACCAAACGTCGCCTGTTTAAACCTTCAGGCAAAACTGTTAATACAAAATAGCTATAAATCCTCTTTTTAGCCCATAAGACTCAATAAAATAACAGTCCATCAGAACACAGCAGAAAGTGTTCCATGCAAAAAATTTTCGACCAAAAATTTTAGAAAAAAAAACATCATAAAGCCAACATTGACAAAATAGAATTGGTGCAAAACTAAATCTATTGGATTTAGGCTTTGAAACAATTCATTTAAAACGTGTTAACTAATTTGAGTTTCTTTTGCTTTTCTAATTGTGCGTTAAACACCAATCAAGATTCCTGGTATATCGGGGCGAAGTCCTGGATGTTCCGAGTGCACTTAAAGATTAATTCAAACGTTTTTTTTTGGAAAAAATGAAGACATAATTTTTTTTGAATTAAAACTCAGCACAAAAAAAACTCTCAGATTGGTTGAAAACAGTTCCATTAAAATTGGCTGATTGTTCCGGCTTTCGAAGAAAACGGAATACTTATGGTTGGTGTAATTTTTTATAAGTCATTTTTCGGCGATCGAAATAATAGTTTTTAACAAAAAAAGGATCTTATTAACTATGTCCCCCGTTTTGGACCTTGTTAAATTCGCCAATTTGCCCATGCTGTGAACAAATTTATCCGCCCTTTGAAAATTTCATCCTTATACTCAAAGCGTAACGCAAATTATTTATGCGTGACAAAATTATCACGCCTAACAAAATTTCTCCAAATGGAATTGAGGCTTCCTTATCGGTCGTATCTTTTTTGTACGATTCTAGATTTCACGCTTGGTTTTTGAGGTTTTGGAACCAGTTCTTAACTAGAATTTATAATTGGTTATAAATATAATTCTCTATTCATATAAAATATTCCTAACTAAGCAATCATATTCCATCTCTAACCTTTACACTTATTTGTAAGTGCTGAAACTACTTGTAGTTTCAGCATCAGAGCAATTTGAATTAATTTTAGAATACCCTTGTTCTCATTCTGGAACTCGCATAAACCAGTATACACTAGATCTATTGAGACTATAGATATAAGACTAAGATTAAGATCGGTATTAGTCTAAGAAGTTGCACGAAACTATCCGGCCGAAAACAAGATAGCGTGGCGAGCAGACTGTGTACTTTATCTGAAATTACTCTATGAGTATAACCAAATAGGTCATAACTCAGTTTTTCAAAATTTATAGTTTTTTTGATTTTTCCCCCAAAAAGGTTTTGATATGGAGTAAAGGGCAGTCGGAACATTCACGGCTTTTCCCTGATATACGAGCAGTCTTGGTAGTCAAAAGCTGACTGAATTGAAGGATTTTTTCTTCTCGCAATTAAGAGAGTTGCTGTTATTTTTGTAACCTTTTTTGTTGCTTTTTATTAACTCATTTTCAGGTTATGGGCAACAATTTTTAAGATGGCAAAAATTCAACCTGGTCAGTTAATTTTAAAGTGTTTTTATTGTAACCATTAAAAAACTAAGTTTATGGCTTCAAAAGTATAAGTATTTTAAGCTTCAAAGAAAACAAATGAGAAAATAATATTGACAGTTTTATGATACTAAATATTTCAAAGCGTCATTTTCTATAAAACCTACTTGTTTTGGAAGCCAGTTTTCATGCCGTGATACGTATATTCTAAGTTTGACTGATAAAATGTTCCCAACTGCTTGGCCAACTTCATTGTATGTGTCGACGCTAAAACAAGGAAAACAGATAAAAGCATCCCAATTATTTTTAAATCCAGATTTTTTCAAAGTTTTCTATGAGCGAGGCTTCATGAAAAATTAACTATTCAACTAACGCATAAATAGCAAAATAAAAACAATATTGTTTCCGTTTAATGATGGAGCTACAGTACAAATCAATAAAAAACTAGAACTAAAATAAAATAGAAATGGTTTCCATGAATTCCCAAAATCATTTATACAAAAATAATAACAAAACAGCAAATAAGTTTCTGCTTTTTTCAAAATTTAAATTGGAAATTTTTCTGACATTTGAAAAGATTTGATGCACTGAACCAAAATTAAATTATATTTGACATGTGAGAGATTTAAAATGTTTCAGCCATCTGAAAAGCATTGTACTGAAGTAAAAACTAAATAGATATTTGTACTGTGACATTTTTAAACAAATTTATGGGTTCAAAAGCATCTTTGGCAAACTATTGAAAATAAAAGTGCTATTCTTTTCGTGCTATTAAGCTGCACTTTAATCTGACTTACAGATAATTTCAGCTGGAATTGAGAAAGCCTATTTTATTCGTTACTAGAATAAAAGCTAAAAACATCACTTTGTCTTTCACAAAACGCGTTAGTGAAATCAATTTAATACTGATATTGATTATTTGAAAACTCTTAGTCTAACGCGCAGACAAAAATGAAACAATTGATTATGGTGAAAGTTTTAAACCTGTGATGATCTAAAAAAAATCTGCTAGAAATTGCCAAAAGGAAATTGAAAACTCACTCGAAAAATTATTTTTGTTCTTGTTGTTGTTGTTGTTGTTGTTGTTGTTGTTTGTGTTGTTGTTGCTGTTGTTGTTGTTGTTTTGTTGTTGTTGTTGTTGTTGTTGTTGTTGTTGTTGTTGTTGTTGTTGTTGTTGTTGTTGTTGTTGTTGTTGTTGTTGTTGTTGTTGTTGTTGTTTTCGTTGTTGTAATTGTTATTATTGTTGTTGTTGTTGTTGTTGTTGTGGTTGTTATTGTTGTTGTTGTTGTTGTTGTTGTTGTTGTTGTTGTTGTTGTTATTGTTGTTGTGGTTGTTATTGTTGTTGTTGGTGTTGTTGTTGTTGTTGTTGTTGTTGTTGTTGTTGTTGTTGTTGTTGTTGTTGTTGTTATTGTTATTGTTATTGTTATTGTTGTTATTGTTATTGTTAATATTAATGTTAGTGTTATTGTTATTGTTATTGTTATTGTTTTTGTTATCATTATTGTTTTTATTATTGTTATTGTTATTGTAATTGTGATTGTTATTGTTATTGTTATTGTTATTGTTTTTGTGATTTTTATTAATATTGTTCTTGTTTTTGTTCTTGTTATTGTGATTGTTATTGTTATTGCTATTGTAATTGTTATTAATATTGTTTTTGTTATTGTGTTTGTTATTGTTATTGTTATTGTTATTGTTGTTGTGATTGTTATTATAATTGTTATTGTTTTTGTTATTGTTATTGTTATTGTTATTGTGATTGTTATTGTTATACTTATTGTTATTCTAATTGTTATTGTTATTGTTATTGTTGTTATTGTTATTGTTAATATTAATGTTAGTGTTATTGTTATTATGATTGTTATTGTTTTTGTTATCATTATTGTTTTTACTATTGTTATTGTTATTGTAATTGTGATTGTTATTGTTATTGTTATTGTTATTGTTTTTGTGATTTTTATTAATATTGTTATTGTTTTTGTTCTTGTTATTGTTGTTGTTATTGTTATTGCTATTTTAATTGTTATTGTTATTGTTTTTGTTATTGTGTTTGTTTTTGTTATTGTTATTGTTATTGTTGTTGTGATTGTTATTGTTATTGTTATTGTGATTTTTTTTGTTATTAAAATTTGGTTTTGTTATTGTTATTGTTATTGTTATTATAATTGTTATTGTTATTGTTATTATGATTGTTATTGTGATTGTTATTGTTATTCTTATTGTTATTCTAATTGTTATTGTTTTTGTTATTGTTATTGTTATTGTTGTATTTATTGTTATTGTTATTGTTATTGTAATTGTTTTTTTTTATTAATTTTGTGATTGTTTTTTGTTATTGCTATTGTTATTGTTGTTGTTATTGTTATTGTTATTGTTGTTTTTGTTATTGTTATTGTTATTGTTATTGTTATTGTTATTGTTATTGTTATTGTTATTGTTATTGTTATTGTTAATGTTATTGTTATTGTTATGTTATTGTTATTGGTATTGTTATTGTTATTGTTATTGTTGTTATTGCTACTGTAAATGTTATTGTTAGTGTAATTTTATTGTTATTGTTATTGTAATTGCTTTTGTTATTGTTATTGTTAGTGTGATTGTTGTTGTTATTGTTATTGTTTTTGTGATTGATATTGTTATTAATTTTGTTATTGTTATTGTTATTGTTAATGTTATTGTTTTTGTTATGGTTATTGTTATTGTTAATGTTATTGTTGTTGTGATTGTTATTGTTATTGTTATTGTTATTTTTATTGTTATTAAAATTTGGTTTTGTTATTGTTATTGTTATTGTTATTATAATTGTTATTGTTATTGTTATTGTTATTGTGACTGTTATTGTTATTCTTATTGTTATTCTAATTGTTATTGTTTTTGTTTTTGTTATTGTGATTGTTATTGTTGTATTTATTGTTATTGCTATTGTTATTGTAATTGTAATTGTTATTAATATTGTTATTGTTTATTGTTATTGCTATTGTTATTGTTGTTGTTATTGTTATTGTTATTGTTGTTTTTGTTATTGTTATTGTTATTGTTATTGTTATTGTTATTGTTATTGTTATTGTTATTGTTATTGTTATTGTTAATGTTATTGTTATTGTTATGTTATTGTTATTGGTATTGTTATTGTTATTTGTAACATTCGTCTACTGCAGTCACACATGAGGCTTAAGAAAAATAGGCCCTATAACCACTGGCTCAAGGGTCAGGGACACCATCTCTTGTGTTTTTCTACCTCAAGAACGGTCGGAGCCAGTTCGGTTCGTTTGTGACATGAGACTACGACCCGTTACATCTTAAAGGCTACTACTAAAATATCCCCCCACTCTAGAATTAGAAACGTCCCCATACTTAGGTCTCTAGATACCCAAAATACATGAACGCCGTTAAAAACCGGGTTGGAACAATCCGTTAAGTTACTTTTTATTAGACAGTGGAACTTTGATCCATTTCAGGTGGATCAACCTAAAACTCGCCTTACCTCAACATAACAATCATAAAACACACTCTAGAATTTAAATTTGTACTCACATAGTAGCACGCTCAAGAAGTGGGAAATAATCCAGTCGGTAGTTAACTCAAGAATTAAATAACGTAACTAAATGAGTCTAATGTTTTATAGTTTTGACAATGGGAACGAGTTTATACTCTAGACAATAGTTTCCTTGTGAACCATTAGGACACTCAAGCTGTCCACCTTTCCACCGAAGGATCACTCTATTCCAGTTCCGAATAATACTCCAGTCGTTATAATCCAATTCGAGGGAATGCTCTCGTCTCTGTCACAGATGGGACAGCTCTACTCTCGATTATGATAGTGATGGAAATTGCGAATAAGAATTTCCTACTGCTTTTTCTTACAATTTTCCCGCGTGTGTGTCTCAATCGTTCTGAAATTGTTCTGATTTCTTTTTTCTGATTTTCAGTTATCGCGAGAAAATCGTGCATGACAGGTTCCATTCGAAATTTTGAAAAATTAAATTTCACTCCAAAATCAAGTGTTTTTTGCTTCTCTCAAGGTCAAACTTCCAAATATGACCGACTGGCACATACTCCCCGGACTCGAGATCGATGTCCTCATCGCGCGCTGTCTTCTGCCAGTGAGTCCCAGAAAAACCGAGTGTTGCTCAAGATACAGTGCCAGTGGTCATTTACAGAAGTTTGCAGCAGACTTATTCTTATCTACACCCCAAAATTCACAGCCATTTAAAATTTTCACACTATTGCTAAACAGCAACCAAAATCTGCATACACCTGCACCCTTGAATTTTCGCTTTTCAAGCCAATCATTTTAAAATCTCTTTTGTCCTATTCAATCAGGAAATTGTCATGCAGCATTTCGATTTATATAATAAATATAGTATATTAGTAACAATATTTGCTTTGTTAAAATTTCTTTTTCGTGAATCCAAGTTTCACTCGGATCCACGCTCAAGCCCCCCTTCCCTCTCAAGACTCAAGATCCATCCGATTTGCCCATTCATCTCGTACTCTTCGCCTTAGAGGTACTACATCCTGAAGTGCTAGATGCGGCAAACCGTCTCAACAGTTCCTCTTCATCATCGGAACTAATCACAATCTCCTCCCAAGCCTTCAGCTGTTCATAGGATCGCATCCATTCTCTCTGCTCCTGCAATCTCTTTGCTTGGTTGGGTAGTGCCTTCACCCTAGCTTCTCGGTTCAAGCAAAAGGAGTTGTGCAGGCTCAAGCTCACGTTCCTCGCCAGGTCTTCCTCTAGTATCGACTCCCTCGCTTTGGTATTGTCTCTAGACATCTTACCCACTCTTTTCCATCCTGTCGTGATCGCATTACGATGGGTTAGCAGGGGTCTCTTGAAAGCTTCCGGCCCAATCTCGGCCTGGAACTGTCGATACTCCTTTTGATGTTTTCTCATGTGAACTTTCGTTGTCATGTACAACCAAGACGTCAGTGTCGCCCGAAACCATGGAAAGTACCTCAAGCGACTCCATACGTGCCTGACTTCCGTCGGTATGGCGAATACTTTGTACGCAGTCTCAAACAACTCGAGTCTCCTGCTGTAGTCTATCGCATATATTGACTCAGCCGTTGGCGTCGTCGCCTCCCGATACTTCGTTATATTCTCTTCTATCCATCTCAGAGCTAACATCGTACTCACTACTAAGAGCGTCACCTTCTGCCGGTGATCCGGTAGTCCGATCGACCGAATCTCTTCCACATCCCACACCAGGCAAAGGTTCTTGTGATCTGGATACCACACCGTTTGTGCCAAACAGTGGCATGGGCATTCCCCATGAGAGATCTCAATGCTCCTGAGATTACGCTCCCCTGAGGCTTCCAAGAGAGGCTCAAGCTCCATCATTTTCTCGTGCATCGTGTCGTTATCTTCCAGGTTCGGAGTACTTCCCACAGGTTTTCCGATCACGTTTTGTCTCTCGTGATCGCTTGTGTTTTCTCTTTCCAACTTCAGAAGATCTTCTCCCCAGATTTCACTTAAGTCATCTCTCAATTCTTTTGGTACTGTCCCTTTGGTTTTTCTCAACAACTTGTGCGAGTGATGCGACATCCGAGCCAACCTCACGCACTTGGGCACTGAGAAGGCCTTGTCCACCAGTATTCTCTGGCTGGAACTTCCACCATCGCCATGTGTAGCGGGTAGTGACTTCCGCACAAGTTGGCCATCATTGACCCTATCAGCGATTTCGCGTTCAATGGCAAGCCATAAGCTTCGCTCATGGGAAATCCCATTTCCGCCTCAAGACCAACCTTCCAGCTCCGGATGTGTTTTTGAGTCACCTGCAACACCCCGGGCCATGATTCTACGCTCAACGCCGTCACTAAATGATGTTCAGATTCCAGTCTCTCCAGTGCCTGCAGACCACACATTCTCGAGAAGAATCCGAGAGCTGTCGCTATATTCACCGTGGTTCTCGCGTAACATTCCGCTATTATTTGCACTTCACTTTTCTCCCTTTCTGTGATGTCTTCGAACCAAGTGACCAGGTCTTCTTTTTGAAACGACAGTATTCTGACGCATGACCGTCCATCGCAGATGTGCTCTCCGTTCCCACACGTCGAATCCAGACAGCTACCCGGCTCCAATTTCTTTGCTGACCCGGGTTCGCTCGTCTTTTCGCTTGGCTCTTGCATCTGGGGCGTGATTAGCTTATGTAGCACACTCAACTTCGCCAGATCTTCATCTTCCGTTGGTGCTAACCTCACTCGCTCGGTGGTTTCCTCGATTAGACTCGCATGGGGATGTGGACACCAGGAGGGTCTTAGTAGCTTCCATATCACTCCCAAGTTCGTGGTTAACAAGCCATTTCCACCGCCCGTGTTCACTTCAACTCTCTTGTTTGAGCGCGGTATGCTTATCACCTCTGGTGTTTTCTCAAGAATCAGGCCCAGGCTCGGCCCCTCTTTTTCCACCGCGTCTATTTCCATTATTCTTTCTGTCCAAAACTTCAGTAGCTCCGCTACCTCATGGTTTCTGTGGGCTCCTCCATCTTCCGAGTCTAAGAAGGGATTGTAGGCTATTCCCATCACTCCAGACACATATTGGTATTCCCCCTTCTCGCTGAGTCTCGAGTACTGTTCTGACGAGGCCAGGTTACGGTGAACATCATGTTCTTCCTCGAACTTCTTATTAGAGAACCTCCGTACCTCGTCCAGCTTTCGATGGTTCTCTAAGGATAGTCTGGAACCATCTTCTTTTTCTATTCCTGTACTCTGATATACGTTCAAGATGATCGTTGAGACTCTTTTCTCCATGGTTTTACTTCCACTTGCTCTCTGGTGGCATGCCAGGATGGTGCTATCACACATCATTGACATTATCCATCTCAAGAAACATGTGGCATCTTTTCTTCTAGCCAGGCTCAAGCCTGAATTGTCCCTGGCCACGTGTTGCATCAGTGCCTGATACACCTCTAGCTTCTTGCTTCCCAACTTCAGCCTGTCATACGAGGTCAATGTCTCCAACTCTATTCCCACCAGACTCCAGGTGAACATTAATTGTCCCGCAGTTCTAACGAAGGGATTCGCCATTAGTGGCGGTGCTGATGAGGATGTCCTCATCGCCTCTTCAAAATGATCCTTCATCAAACTCTGCCAGGACCTCTTCAGATGACTTGCCATCTCTATCTTATTAACCTCGGCTTTTTGCTGGGTGGCCCAATTGCGTCGCTTGCGAGCTATTCCACTGTCCAACTTCTTCAAGCAGTCCTCCATTTCCTTCAATGTTTCGAGGGCCACCCACCACGTCCGGGAAGTGTTCCTCGTCTTGTTCCTCTCCAATGGATCACTCGTCACTTGTTTGCCCATGTCCTGATGTGCCTTCGAGATCCATTCTTTGCCGATCTCCACTTCCCCTACCTGTCCGTTCGTTGAACCTCTCTTCACGTATATCTTCTGAGGCTTGAAGTCTTCTTTTGACGTCGAACTGGCGGAAACCTCTATTTCCTTTTCTACTTCAAGTGGTTTCCTAAGCTCCGAGCTGTTCTTGTATGCCGCCGTCTTGCATCGAGCCAAAACGATGGGCGCCGTCTCTCTCAAGTTTCCTTCCGAAACAGCATCCACTGAAGGACTACCCCATCCTTCCACTTCTCTCTTCCTCTTGCGAGTCTTCACATCTCTGCTCGAGGGTGTTGTGGCTATCATCATTGATTCGACCTCTCCATCCACTCCTTCCCACTCTTGCCTCCCCCCTGCTCGAGCCTTAAGGATATTAGTACTTTTAATCATATTACTAGTCCCAACCTTATCCCTTTTTATATCATCAACCATTTTATCCACAGTTTTTTGTTTCAGTGTAGAGCTGTCCTCACATTTCTCTTTTCTAGTCTTCGATCGTGCGTTCCTCAGCTCCACTAGCTTGTTCAGCAGCTCTTTTCTTGCTTTCTCATCCAGACCCGTTCCTATCAGGAGCGGTTCCCCGAACCTCACTACTGCGTCCCACTGTTCCTTCTTGAACTTGTCCAGCGTCGTCTCGCTGCCCACTTCTCGATTGAATTCCTCCAGGAATTCCTGCCAAGCGTCATCCTCGAGAGATCCCAAGAATATGTCCCTGTTCCCTTCGAACGTGTTCTTCTCCCTTTCCTCCGAGCTCAAGAGTA